AACTCTAGACCTCCTTAATTTAGTCTCCAACCTTTTGTCTCGTTAGTTGAAAATTTTACCATTTTGTAGTATTTGCTAGTTAATTAGTTAGAAATATAAATCACAATTTTTATAATTTAAAAAATTATTCAAACTTGTCTTCTTAGTGATATTAAACAGATATAGCTAAGCCTTAGTTCTCTATGGGATTCGACTCCGGACTTATAGACCGAATTATATTTGCAGCGACCACTTATCCTTTTTAGTACTTACAGTTGGGCGTGATCAATTAATATTTTATATAAAATAGTATTAAAAGTTTTTTTTGTTGACAAAAAATTTCCGAAAAGAGCAAAAAGTAATTAAAAAAAAAAACTGTTGGGATTGATAAATCACCTAACTTGGACCAATACAATGTGCACAAATCAAGATTGGCCTTTGGGGCAAACAGAATCCAATTCATAAAGTTAGCAGGCCATTACATAAAGACAAATTTACGTGTTCTCTCTTCCTTTACTACACGTATTTTTTTGTACTCTCAACTCAATAACTCAACTCTAGCATAATTAAAATAAATAAAAAAAAAAACACAGTGCTCAAGAATTCCATAACATAGTGCCACAGAATAGCAGAATAGTTGATATTGGAATTTGGAGATACCCTTTTGCTTCTGCTTCATCTTGGTCAGTCTTTTAATCCCTTTCAATCTATTTATAACATACAGTTGAGTTGTGTTATAAAAATCAATAGGTGCATTAACATAGCCGACCATGGTTTTCTTCTTAAACTTGTTTCTTTTTACCGTTCGTTGATTGCTTGTGTTTTGGTTGTTCTACTTCCTTGTTGTTTTTACTGTTTCCCTGACTTTTACACTAGTATATTTCCTCTCTATACTGTTGTGATTTGCATGCTTGCTTGGAGCTGAGGGTCTACCGAAAACAGTTTCTCTACCTGCCCAAAGTAGGGGTAAAGCTGCGTAAGTACACACTACTCTTCCAGACCCCTATTTGTGGGATTACACTGTGTTTGTTGTTGTTGTTGTTGTTGTTATTTTTTTTTTCCCCTGTTTGTTGATTATTTTGTGAGCATTTTTCAATGGATAACTTGTTTTCTTGTGATGATTCTAGCTAAGTTTTTGCTACATGAGAGATTGGATTAATTTTTTCTAAATTGCTAGCTTATGTTGAAGACTTGTCTAATTGGGAATATATTTTAGCCATGTTAATACATCTACTTTAGGTCCTATGCTTTCCGAGAGTCTTTTAACCCTATTGGAGATTCGTATGACAGCAGGAAATACATAAAATTATACAGTCGGAGCTATCTATAACAACATCTCTATATAACAACCCTTTACTATAAAATCTAAATTTTTTTCGAAACCAATTTTTTTATTTTGTTATAATATATATCCTTTATAACAGCACTTCATTACAACAACAAAAAAATATCGGAACAAAAATGAGGCTGTTATAGAGAGGTTTGACTGAAGTACTTTTTATTTTGTTTTGTATAATGTTGGACTGTGATGAATTTAAATGTGGAACATGATCACTGAGGATTTATATAGTTGACCTCAACTTATTTGGGATTAAGGCGTAGTTGTTTGTTGTATGTTGAAAGTGTATGCTTTACTTTTTAGGCAGAGGGAGGGTGGGATTGAGAGATCGTTAGTGTTTTGGAACGCTTGAACTTATCTTGAAAGATTCTTACATCATGTTTCTTGATGTAGTGTTTGATTATGTAGTTATATGTGTTACTCTTTCTAGCTGGATGTATGTTTACCAATGTAGAGAGGGTTGATAGCAAAGTAAAGATTGAAGGCCTCGATGGGATGATTGAGTGATTGAGGCATAAGAGTAACAACACGAAAAAACCTCGTTCGAGTCCTAGCTAGAACACACCCAGTAAACTAGTCAAGATACACGAAGCTAGTGTGAACACCACCCCAAACAAAAAGGAAAGAAAAAAGAGTTGGCAAAGCAAATTTCTTTAAGGGTATAAAAGATGGGAATTTTGTTAGCAGGAATATAGAGAAGTTTTTGACAAGAGTAAATTGATAATGACATATTTATTTGATTAGGAACTTCAGGTAAGCAGTCTTGGTGACTTGTTTAAAAAACGACTGGAATTGGTATCCGTAGATTTTAGACTTTTGGTTCCATGTTACGTCTTGAGGGGGAGCCTTGGAGCAATGGAAAGTTATATCCGTATGGCTTATAGGTCACGGGTTCGAGTAATGGTATTTAGTAACAAGAATCATTTGGTTTTCCAACTTCAGTCTTGATCTGGAAAATATTGAGAATTATATTGCTTCTTCTCTTCCTCATTTCTTTGTCTGTTTAGTACAGTTTGTCTTATTTTGTAGAGAGAGTTCATGGTTTCTTGTCGTTTGATTGTAATAGATGCTTTTGCTGTAACAGGGTTGTTGAAGGTTTTCTCGAGGGGTTGTAAACTGGTGAAAATTTGCTAGTGGAAATCTTATTTTCTGTGTTAATTTAAGGCAGAATGGACCACAATAATCTTGGAACTTCTCAAGGTATTTCAACTTGTTACCGTGCATGCCTTGTCTCGTAACAATCTATCTGTTTTGCTGAAAGCAATTAATTTTATGCATAGGTTTGTGCTATTTTGAGTTTCAAAACAGATCAGAGAATTGTATCTGTCTTTTGGTTTCTGCAAGAGGTTGTTGAACTAACGGTTTTCGTGAAGGTATATCATTGGAAAATCTAACCAAATTATTCAAAGACATAATATTCATCATAAAAATAGTTAAATACATAATAATAAGGTGGAAAGCAGGAGTGGAGCTAGAGCTTCGGTAACGGGTTCGGCCGAACTTAGTAGCTTTAGCGCAAACCCTATATTTGTCTTAAGAAATCCACTGAATTATGTAGAAATTCTTACTTTAGAGCCCAGTAACATAAAAAGACTAGAATCCTGAACCCAGTAACTTCAAATCCTGGCTTCGCGCCTCCGCCTCTGGTGGAAAGCACGTGACATAGCGTCTGAGCCCAAAAAATTGCATAGGCAAAATAGTAAAACCAAGTTGAACATTTCTTAAAGCGTATATAGATATTACTGTTTATGGAGCGCAAGAAATTTTAGGTGTAGGATCTTACTCAAAGTAAAGTATAGCAGTCTTCTAGAGCAGGTGACATTATCAAAGCAGAGGAAGGCATTTCAATAACCTTTTTGCTAGTATTTCTCATGTTCTGAGAATAAAGTCAATCATCATAATATAAAGGGTGAATGGCTCTTGCATAACATGCCGGCATCATGATGGTATACCGTAAGATTACGAAATGTCCACTGCTTATTTGTGAAGCAGGAAATGATGTATCCACTTGGTTCAGAAATTGCCAAATGTTCACTTCAGCAAGAGTAAATAATGTCCCGCAGAAAGGAAAGAAACAGTTTTTGATAACTTCCCTCTCTCCAAAGAGAAATAAGATACTCGTGTCTCACTCTCTTTTTCAGTTAATTTTTTTCCTTAGTTAAAAAACAGAGTTGAGGCACAACTCTGTGACAGTGAAGAGGGCTCTTGCTCGGTCTGTTGTTGGAAATGTTATCTCTATTTCAATATTTAACCATTAAGTTATTGGATAATTCGTTACTCACTTTAAGTTCTGGAAAGTATTGTCCCAACAAACTGTCCGAACAATCTTTCCTTTGGGAGATTTAAAGCTTGATAAATTTGATAAACTTCTCTCAAACACTTGTGAACTCCAATTCTTTGTTGACTGGATCTCTTTAACCAAATAAGAAAACTGAAATTCACATCCTTGATTTGTCATGCGCCTGAAGACGGCGATTTTTTCTTGACAGAAGATGAAAGGTCAATGGACAGAAATTCAGAAGGATAAGGAGGAGATGCAATAAGTAAAGAAATAAGTACCAGATATTAGGCTTAACGACATTTCTAGATGCCAACCTTGAAGATATCAAGAACTTAGTTCATCGTAAATGCAGTAACTTTTACCTTTTCCGGAAAGAGAAAGGATCAATAAAAAATTGGATCGTTCTTTTTCGTGGAAAGAGAAGCTTTAGCACAGTTTCTGAGGGAAGTGTACACTTTTTTCTGTATATCATCTTATCATGATTTTTCTTGCTGACACAGTGTATTGAGGTGTTCTAAACTTCGCAATTGTCTAATTAGATGATAATAGATTGCCTATGCTCTTAATCACTTCCAAAATGTTGCAAATAATGATGGCTTGCCCTTGAAATGATGCATATTTAACTGCAACAGTTAAGAAAGAATATAACACAAAGAATGAAAGCACTGAATCCAATCAAAAACTGCATGAGGCTTCAAAGGAAGTGACATCTGAAGGGAATCAAGGCCAAGTTGGTAGGAATGTCGCAGGCGATGTAGCTCCACGACATGTGAATTCTCAAGGCGAGGTTAACATGGAGGCAGATATCACTATGGATGACGTTATAAGAGCCGGAGGTCTAGGAGCAAGAGACGATTTAAATAGTGTTCTTCCTATCGCAACAGATACCACTGACTTTGAGGCTTCTATTCGTGACGCTTGGGACTATGAAGGACTACGTGAAAGCATTAAGCGACCGGGCCTTGGCTGGACTGAACCTGCAAAGAAGTAAATCTATCCACACTGCAACTTAAGGTGGACTTCCGAGGTGTTTTCCAGTTTTAATAGCACTCTTAGACTCTCAGCTCTGGTCCTGTTGATTGAACGTACGTTGTATTTGTCTTACAGTTTGTTCAAGCAATAAGTTCTATCCTAGTGTATGAAATTAATGATCAACCACGATGGACATTTTCGTTAATGTGCTTAGTTGTCAATCTGTTATTTCTCCTTTGTGCACTTTTTCGTTAATGTGCTTAGTTGTCAATCTGTTATTTCTCCTTTATGCACTTCTCTATTTGACGTATCTTGTTGTGTTTGAGATGGTACTAGGAAACATAGTAGAAATTCCATATTAAAAGTTCTTTTATGAAATGAAAATTTCAATCGTGGGTCGAATCTTACTGAATCTTTAATGAGTTCTGCTAAGCACAAACATTAGATTCATTGCTAGTTTCAAGCATTCATGTACAAAGATAGTTCGTTCCGAAAAGAATGCTACAATGCCTCAACATTGTTACATGTGTGGAGCATTATAACCATAGATCTATGTAAAATAACTCTATATAGCTATTTATATTTTCGGAAGAAGTCATTGTTGTTGAACGCCTGATGCTCTTCTAAAAATTCTATGGCCAGGAGCTAGGATAGCCAAAGGGTCATATGTGGATTTCCTCCTATTAAATGTTTCCCATTGGAGACCAAAGTGACTTTTCCAGTCTTCCTGTGTTGTGTAATGTGGCAAATACTGTTTCATTCCAATATGTGCTTTTCTGCAAAAGTTCAGTATCTTCTTATTCTTTTTTAGAATATATTCTACGCCGTCCTTTCCTGTTGAAGATGGCATGGCAGAAGATAGGAATGCTATTAAATACATAACATCTTCTTCAGGTGTAACTAGTGATGTTCCTTTTCTCCACCTGCAACACAAAACGATCATAGATCATGTTAGGAAAATGCATATATCCTTAATAAGAAGATTAGTTGAGTGATGATGATTTCAGTACTTTGATTTGTTGACTGGGTAGATGAGTATAGGACCGTGGCTAGTGTCGGTAAGTATCTTCCCAAAAACTTCTTGTGCGAAGTCATGAATCCTGGTCTTTGGAATTAGAAGGTTTAGCCATGGATGAGGAACATCCCATAACCCCTTCTCTTGGAGTTTCATCTCGGATACATGGACTCTGTCGAGAAAATCAACGTACGAGACTTCTGATTGGAACAACGTCGATTGGATATAATTCAACTTTGATAAAAGAGCATCAACATTCTGTAATGTTAAGAAAAACAAGAGTCAAGATGTGGACATGTTTAGGGGAACATTTTTGCAAAGTTGTCAAAAGCTAGAAGTTTGAGCCGTGGAAATAGCCTCTTGTAGAAAAGTAGGGTAACACTACGTACAATAGACCCTTGTGGTCCGGTCCTTTCCCGGACCCCACGCACAGCGGGAACTTAGTGCACCGGGCTGCTATTTTGTCAAAAGCTAGAAGCTTAAAACGACTAAAAATATCTTACCTGATCAGTTTTGGCTGTCTCTTCTGGATTGAAGTATTTGGCAACTTCTAGGCAGTAGAGAACTTTTCCCTCAGAACTGAACTCTTTGGCTAGAAGTGGATCTTTAGGATTGAAAGTAGACCTCCAGTTGTTTAACAATCCTGTTCTATTGATAATGACAAATCCTTCTATATAGTCGAAAGAATTCTCCGATGATATCAAGTGTTCTTGATCATAGGAAAATGTGGAGAAATCTGAATACAGCACTCTGATCCACTTTACCTGTAAATAATTGGACTTTAATAGAAATTACTGGACTTGTTTTCTTTTTCTTTTTTAAAATCTTATTCTAATTAATGTGAAGGGGAGCCTTGGCGTAACTGGTAAAGTTGTTGCCGTATGACTAGGAGGTCACGAGTTCGAGTCGTGGAAATAGCCTCTTGCAGAAATGCAGGGTAAGGCTGCGTACAATAGACCCTTGTGGTCCGACCTTTCCCCCGGATCCCGCGCATAGCGTGAGCTTAGTGCACCGGGCTAACCTTTATTCTAATTAATGTTAACTTATTTGATATTTGGAGTTGGAAAAATTACCTTTTTAGGTGCTGGTTCAAGAGCAATCCTAGCCCGTGTGATGATACCAAACTGGCCTAGTCCTCCTAATACACCATAGAACAGGTCAGCATTCTGCTCCTCTGAACAAGTAATCACCTCTCCTTTACCTATGCAAAAAATGTGTTATTAATAATTTCAAGAAATATAATACGTGGCGATCCAACTTACAAAATGGATGGATGTGAAATTTTCCAATAGTTATAGTTGATTATCCAAAAGTTCAGATTTAAAAAAAAAAGGTGATGACTTGTTGTAACAAAATTGCCTTATGCTGTAGACTTTCTTGAGTCCAAGTCCACAATGTAAACACTTTTTAACTGATTAGTCTGACTTCTAGTTGTTGATTTGGTACTCTGTTGGAATATAATAGAGGCAGGATTTGACTTATATACACTGAAAATGTAAAGAATGTTTGCACTATATGTGTATTTTAGCCTATTGTATTTGTAGCAGGTGAAGTTCCCTTGGCTTAACGGGTAAAGTTGCTGCCATGTGACCAGGAGGTCATGGGTTCGAGCCGTGGAAACAGCCTCTTGCAGAAATGCAGGGTAAGGCTGCATACAATAGACCCTTGTGGTCCGGCCTTTCCCCGGACCCCGTGCATAGCGGGAGCTTAGTGCACCGGGCTGCCCCTTTTTTTGTATTTGTAGCAGGTAACTTGCCTTATTTTTTGCAGGTTGTTAATCTCACTTTTTTACGCTGTCATTGTATAGAAGTTAAACTCAGAAAGAAATGGGAAGATTAAACTCTCCCCGCTCGACTACTTTATAATGACTACCTGATACTAGTAAGATTGTTGTGCACGAACATACCAGTGACAACCTCAAGTTGGTAAACATTATTGATCTGTGGTCCATGTTTGAATGCTTGACCACTGATTCCGGCATTCGACAAAGTCCCTCCAACGGTCAGGTGAAGATAATCAGTCCAAGATTTTGGTGTTAATCCAAGTTTAAGACTTTCATGCAGGATGTTTATCCAAAGTTCACCAGCAGAGACATCAACAAAAGGCAGTTCTTGATTCCCTGTGTGGAAACGCATTGCTGGCGCTCGAAGCGATTCCATATTGATCACTACTCCTTGGTAAGCTTGAGCTTGGCCTTCTAGAGAATGACCATGACCTCTAGCAGCAACAGTAAGGTCGGTAGCGCTACCCATGTCAAAAACATGTTTTATGGTAGATGATATATCAGAAACTGATTTTGGATACAGAACTGCCGACGGTAAGAAGTGATATCTGTTGCCAAAGTCCTTGGCCGCGTGATCGAAATTCTTGAAACTAAAATACCCTTCAATCGTTAACTGTTTCAATGATGATTGAATCACTGAAAAACTTGAAGGGGTAGAAGAAGAAGATATCGGGGTGGCAAAAGGTTGGTCACAACAGAGGTTAGTTCTGTTTATTGAGCAAATGCCTAGTATGAATATAAGCAACCTAAGAAACATACTTTTATGTTTAAAGAAGACATGAGTTGGTGGTGATTTCATCCTTCTTAAATGTGTAGAGGAAATTAAAAGTTGGTTATTTCTTGAATATTTGCCTTTTGTTTGAGTGAAAATAGGGGGTGTAGAATGGCCTCAAGAAAATTAAGGTTGGTCAAGAAAGAATATATAAGGAGGAGATTAGAGGTGTCACTGTCAATAGACACTAAGTGGTTTATTGGACTGCATGTGAGGACTATATATCTTGAAAGTGGATTTTTATGGAAAATATAATCTTGATTTTTTTTGTATCAACAGTTAAGAGTTTGAAGTGGAAAATTTCATCTGTCACTTTGTACTTCACCAGTGTTTCAACTACCACATATGACATATTTAACATGTCTGATTGCTATTTTGAGCAAATTTTATATGCAGAATTTTGGAGTTCTGTACCAACTATTCAACCTGTTCACATTTGGTGAAACAATGACACTATTTTTCTTTTTCATGGTTAGGTGATTTATGCTAAATTTTACATCCTATTCAGTGCATCCTAATTTGAAAGTCATAATAGCTGCACCAAGATTTCGTTATTCTCTCTGTTGCAGTACCGGGTAGCGGAGCCTTGGCATAACTGGTAACGTTGCTGTTATGTGACCAGGAGGTCGTGGATTCGAGCCGTGGAAACAGCCTCTTGCAGAAATGCAGGGTAAGACTGCGTATAATAAACTCTTGTGGTCCGATCCTTCTCCCAACCCACACATAACGGGAGCTTAGTGCACTGGGGTTAAGTTTACTAGGGCCACACAAGTTTATCTTCCACAATGAGTTAGAGGCTATAGCCTTTGAGGATATTCACTTCACGTGGGAGTGAATGCATGTTTGTTTTCCTGTCTGTCTACAAGATGGCTTTCCAACTCGGATTTGACTTATACAAACTAACGGTGTAAAGAATTATTATACCATCCGTGCATTTTAATCGGTTGCCAAGGGTAACTGCTTTATTTAAAGCATGCTAATCTCATTTCTTTATGGATGGTTTCCTGTAATTATCTTTTAGGTAACCTAGAAGGGGAGCCTTGGCGTAACCAGCAAAGTTGCTGCCATATGACTAGGAGGTCACGGGTTCGAGCCGTGAAATAAGCCTCTGGTCCGGTTCTTCTCCGGACCCTGCGCATAGCGGGAGCTTAGTGAACTAAGTTGCCCTATCTTTTAGGTAACCTGATTGTCGAAAAATATTTTACGTGTTGTCAGTGCATAGAAGTTAAACTCGTTCAACTTTTGCATGGGATCTACTGATAATGTCAGGTATCTGTTGGATGGATTTGAGTTCTTGATGGAGAGGGTTTGAAGAAGGGAGGCCCCTACTAAGTTACTTGTTGTTAGGTCTTATAAGTATGGCCAAGAGAAAGAAAAAGGAATCAGATTTAGTGGTGGTCCTGAGCTTGTCACTTTGGAAAAATGGTACATGATTTTCACCTTCTTTAACAGACTTGTGATGGAATATTTGGAGAAATGACATGTGAAAAGAAAAAAGAAAAACTTTCAGTTAAAAAATTGTTTGAATTGGTTATCTTTACTTATCTTTGAATATTTCTGAGGGTGAGATACATTTGCTTGAATTGACTGCTTGTTCAGTAATTGCCTCAAGAGCTTTGGTCCTGTGGTGAGAGCGCAACGTATCGTGTGTAGATAGACACACGTTATGAAATTGAATTTTACCGTAGGCGAAAATTTGGTATTTAAGTGGAGAAGAATATAGGAGAGAATTCATTATCCACCGAGTTTCGAACCGTGAATTAGTAATTTATGCGCTATGCTGGTCCTCTGGTATTTCTCGATTATTAAAAAAAATTATCTAGCAACTAGAGGCGTATCTAATGTAGAAGCTACGAGTTCAGTTTCAGTCATACCCTGTATTTTTGCCCAAAAAATTATTAAATATCTACAAATAATTAATTTTGAACTCATTAAATTAAATGAAATGTGATTAAATCTTGGATCCGCCTCTGCCAGATATTAAACTGATTAGACTCAAACTGAAAGAACAAGAAGAATCATATCCAATGAAAAAAACAAAAAAGAAAGAGACTAAAGGGCTGAATTTGGCAACTTTTTGCTGGTTTATTTTGTTTCTCTAATCCCCATGTTCCCCTCCCCCCCCCCCCCCACTTATTCTATAGAGGACCTTGTGAAAATGGTCATCTTATAATGTTATATTACTACTCAAATAAGCTACTAAATTAACACATTGGCTGACAAATGACTAATTGACTAGTATGGAGTTCCATAACAACTTTTATGTGATCAGTTTCGTTTATTCAGGGTAGCTGCCTATATCACACCCCTTTGGGTGCGGTCCTTCCTGTGACTTGCGTGAATGCGGGATATTCCGTGCACCGGGTTACATCGACCCCCTTCGAGTGTGGTCCTTACCTCGACTTACGTGAACGCAGGATACTTTGTGCACCGACAGAGGCAGAACCAGGATTTAAACTTTATGGTTCCAACTTTTAAGGTTCTTAGTATAGAACTCATTATATTCTTAAATTTGTGGGTTCATACATATAATTTATTGCCATTTTAGTGATTTTGTGCATATAAATTGGTGCTCCGTGTTGATTATGGGTTCGATTGAACCCGGTGTTATAGAGCTACATCTGCCCCTGTGCACCGAGCTACATCACCCCCCTTCGGGTGCGGTCCTTCCCTCGACTTTCGTGAACGCAGGATGCTTTGTGACCGGGCTACATCAACCCCCCTCTTTGGGTGCGGTCCTTCCCCCGACTTGCGTAAACGCGAGATGCTTTATGCACCGGGCTACTTAATCCCTTCCTCCCCTTTGGATATGGTCTTTTCCCCGACCTTGCGTGTATACGGGATGTTTTGTACACCAAGTGCCTTTTTTTTTTCAATGCATAAAAATAAAACTCGTGTCCTGTGACAATTTTGAATAGGAAGAACACTAAAAGAAAAACTAGTTTATCAACTGAATGGGTTTTGAGGTCTTGGATCCCAACATTGGGACAAGAATAGCATATTCTTTTACATAAAATATTCTCTGTAGTACTGTTCTTGTTTCATTTGCCAAACAAACTACTATTCTGGAAATTATTACCCCATTTCCTTTTGTTTCTTCTGTATCTACACCAGTAATCTCCATTCTCTGGCTTCTGGAAAATCAATAATTATGTATGTTTTGTGCCTCTTCGATCAACTAATGTACTAAGAACTGTACATGTATGTTTTAAATAATGTGCATATTTGTAAAGACACATTAATTACTGCATATATTATGATTATGTATCATTTCAAAGTAATCTTCATTTGGTTAGACGTATTTGCGACAAGTTTTACATTTACACAAAAGTAAAAATATTTATGGCGACTCGATAAGATGATAAAAAGAATCGATAGTTTTAGTAGCAATCAGAGAAAGTATCATTTTCTTAATGTTTCACTTGGTGTTCTGTATTCGTTTTGGAGCCTAAATAATCCAATTTCGCATCAAAAGATTTCATTTTAACACTCAAACCAAGTTAGGCAGTCATAGGAAGAACTTTATATACTCTTTGTCAAAAGTTCCATTTGGTGAGCTAGCCATGCAGAAAGAAGAGACTAATCTCCTTTTTTAATTGTCAGTGTACCATTAATCTGCAGTGTCATCAGCCACTAAATTCCAAACCTAAAATTTAAAATGCTTGCCATGAAGATTCCCGGCTTTAGTTTAATGGTAAGAGCGCAACACCTGATATGTCTTGCAAACAAAGCTATAGCACTTACGTGGAGAAAGGTATAGAGAGACGGGGTCATTATTTATTGAATTTCAAATCGTGCAACCATTGATCCTCGAGAATCTAAAGAAGGGTAGCCCGGTGGATAAGGCATTCCGTGTTCACGCAGGGTCCGAGGAAGGGTCACACTCCAAGGAGTGTGGTGTAGACAGCCTACCCTAATGCAAATAGTAGTGATTGCTTCTACGGCTCGAACCATCGGTCATAAAAAATCGCTTGTTATGGAGGTACTTCAGATTTTTTCAGACATAAAAGTTTATAGTGGGCAAGAATCAGGGAAGAAGCTTCACTTTGGTAAGCTGACCACCCTTTGTCACAAAATTACACAGCGTATATAGGTAAAATATCAAGTTTTAGAGGTGCATAACATATATCGAACACCCTTTGTCGGAAATTTTTGTTTACTTCTTTCAAATTAAGAAATTTCTGGTTTTGCCATTTGCAAGAATACTAAGCTGCAAGTCTGAATACACAAGAATAAAATACAAGATTAATGCCCCTACTATGTATATACCCTACAAAAAGAAAAAGAGAAAGGACACTAGAATGGCAATCATAGCCAAGGGAAAAAAGCTTTAAAAAATCTTTATGTTGCTAGACATTTTAATGCACCTTTTGATATTAATATTCCAATTGTTTGAACTGTAAGAAGACAAAATTTTGAAATAAGATATAAGTTCATCATAACAACCGCATTGATTTATAATCTAATAAATGATGTTATAAGAAGCTTAAACAACTAATGAATCTTGAAATTATGAGCCTACATATATCATGTTTCAGAACAAAAAATGATTATGATGTACAAATGGTAGATTTCAAACCTAAAGTGAAACCCATGGAACTATTTGAAATAAGTTAATATAAAGGCATATCTATAATTTGATTTGGTTATAGCAATATTAGGGGGTAATCTTTTGAGATTAATCGTTCCAATTTTATTGAATGTCTCTATCCGTACAAACGATTTAGGCATGCATTCAAAAAATTTATGAGGTTGGTAAGGCAAATGGAGGCCACCACAATACATTGAGTGTTCTACCTCGGAATATCGATTTCACACGCTCTACTGAAATAAATTTTGCAAAAACCCAACTACATTATATCTTGGTTGGCCTTTCACTCCTATGGCTTTATAGTTTGGCATCTTTAATTTAATCGAAACCCAACTATATTAAATCTTGCTTTTTTTGAGCCGATGATCTATCAGAAACAATCTTTCTACCTTCACAAGGTAGAGGTAAGGTCTGCATACACACAACCTAAGGTCTGCATACACGCAATCCTTTCCAAACCCTACTTGTGAGATTACACTGAATATGTTATTGTTGGTGTAATCGAAACCTAGTAATATAAGCTGTCCATGAGCATCATGACATAGGTAAAAATGAACGAGGAGGCAAGCCCCCCGCCCCGCTCCCCCCTTCCGTATATCTTGCTCATCCGACATGGCATGTGTATTGGGTAAAACTGAGTTTATACATATCGAAGTGATTGAAAGATGACATGTCATGACACGTAGGCAGGTCAAAGAATGATGATTAGCAAAGAGGCACGAGTTGCAACAGATACGAGCGGAAGCATAAGAAGAGGCACGAGCAAATATTCAAAAGACTCGATGCTCGTACATATTTAAGTCTAAAAGCTGAGAAGAATGAACCTGACAACATAGGAGAGCCCAGATACATTAATAAGCATTAAATACTGAAAACGTTAGAGAATCTGTATTAAATTATAATGATTATGTAACGTAGCATTTAATGCATCCATAATGACCTTATTATGACAAAGGCAAAACGTATAACTTAAAAATAGCTATAAAAGGGAGAAGACTGATTATTTGTAAACACACGAAAAATCAACTGAATATATTGAATTACTTTGTTTTCTGCTATCTATTTGTTATCAAAATCAATTTCTTTTATTCATTTTCGATTATCAGTAACCCGAGTTCTTCTAAAAATAAAGCTTTGACTGAAATTTCATTTTTTGGTTAAACAAATTAGTTCTGTTACCGGGAATCTGATAATCTATTCTTTCCTAACCTAATCTATTTCGTTACATCAACAATCATGTCAAATGTTAATGATAACACCCAAGGAAACCAAGGAAACCATCAACTCCAAGGGGACCCACAAGATGTTCACACTCCGATCCCTTCTCCACAAGGCTCGCCTCGGCGGTCTCGAGAAGGAACTCCTGATGGATCTCACTCAAACGCAAATGCTCAATTTGACAACAATGAAGCTATCAATGAAGCTTTGCAAAAGCTGATCGCTCAACAGGTCAATAAAGCTCTTGAGGCCTTTGCCAGCCAGTTACCTGTTGCACCACCAACACCAATTCCAAATACCAACACTTTAGAAAACCCTCGTTCTGGGCTTGTTAATTCAGGCAGTGGTGGAATCCCCAGTGAGTCACGAGATGGAGAACCAGGTAACTTAGTCAATTCCGATTTACAAAATTTAGTACTAACATTGTAGAAACAGCTCAAGGAGCAAAGTGATCGCATAGAGCAAATACTTGGAGTACCGCCTGTAATCAAAGGAATAGATATGGACAAATATTCACAGCAATCTTGGAAGCCAAGCGTTGTTCCTCTACCAATTCCAAAGAAATTCAAAATGCCCGATATTCCAAAATACGATGGAACAACTGATCCACGAGACCACGTGACTGCATTCACAACTGGCATAAAAGGCAACGATTTGACCAAACAAGAAATTGAATCAGTATTGGTCAAAAAATTCGGTGAAACACTCACTAAGGGAGCATTAACATGGTATTCTCTTTTACCCGAAAATTCCATAAATTCTTTTGCTGAGCTTGCAGATTCATTTATCAAAGCACATTCGGGAGCTCAAAAAGTCGAAAAGAGAATGGAGGATATTTTCAAAATCAAACAAGGGGACTCCGAAAAGAATGACGTTACCAGATAATTGGGCAGCTATAGCTTTCACTAGTAATTTGAATGAGAAAAGGTCAGAAGTCACGAGGCGACTCAAGGAAAGTCTTCGTAAATTGCCAGCAACGACGTGGAATGACGTTTACAACAGGTATAGCACGAAGTGAAGGATCGAAGAAGATATTATCTCACAATCTCAAAAAGAAGAAAAGGTGAGTTCAAGACTGGCAAAAACAGAAAAAGGTCCGGTAAAAACAGGTACGAACCATATATGGGCCCAGCTGGAAAAGATTCACGATAAAAACATGATCATTCAAGGTACGGCCATAGATCTAGAAATAGAGAATCGGGCTCATCATCGAGGTATGGAAATGATCGTAACACACGAGGGTCACGAGATGATGATAGAAACTTGAAGGCACGATTTGGTGGTTATAATTTTAATGTAAGCACTTCCGAGCTCGTAGCTGTTTTAAGAAGCATGGGTGATAAAGTGCGGTGGCCAAAAGAAATGAGATCGAATCCAAACAGGCGTAAACCTGATCACTGGTGCGAATTTCATAATGATTATGGTCATAAAACGGCAGATTGTAGGTTGCTATAGGGTGAAGTTGATCATCTATTAAAGCAAGGATATCTCACCGAATTATTCAGTGAAAAAGGTAAACAAGCATACATGAAGAATAGGCAGGAGCCCCCTAAACCGCCTTCTCCAAAAAGGACCGTTAATGTCATAAGCGGGGGCGAAGAAATCAATGGCGTGACGTACACAACAGCAAATAAAGCTTCCCAAGTCACAATTACCCACGGGAAGCGTGTGCGACATGTCTTAGAGGAAGAAAGCATTACGTTTGATGATGCAGATGCGGATGGCATATTGACTCCACATAACGATGCACTGGTAATATCTTTAC